ATTAATTTACAGGTTACTATTTACTAAAAGAACACGGACAGTGGTTTTGTTCTGTGTTTTCAACTCCTAATCCAGATCTGGGCTTTGAGTTACACCTGTAACTCAAAGATACTGACAGAATCAGATACTGACAAGCGCTGTGCTGATACTGACCAGCACCTGCTTGCAGGGCCATCTTTTTCACCAGTGTTACCCAGTTCAGATGCATTGATACCACCCATGTCTGTTCTGGCATTTACTGAGGTGTAACCCATCATTCATCAGGACGTACCCCCACCACATGGGTATCTCACTTTGTTGCAGGGCAGCTAAAAGCTGCTTCCTCTACAACAGAGGCTGCCCGTCAGTAGATTTTTCCAGCAAGACTCTTGGGCGTAGACCATTTTTAACCTTTCTTACCCCAGAACTATTCCCTGATTACGCATCGATGCATTTGTCATTTGCTGGGTCAACATAAAAGAGCAATCTTCTAGTTCATTTGCAGGACAGGCTACCGAAACAACTGCAGTGCCACCTTTTTCACAGCGTTATCTGTCCCATCATGATACCCAAGGCTTATCTGTCCATACTGTAGGAACGGCACTGTTTCCCTCTCCAGTGGTGAGAGGGACCACGAACAGAGCTAACAGCAAAATCCTTTGTCTTTGAGGAGCATGATCAGTCTACTTGCAGCATTCAGCTACTCATAACTTGGAGAACTGAGTCTGGATCATGGCGTTTTTTTGCTGCATAATCACAGTAAAGATGGATTAAAATGGAAAAAAGCATTTATTATATACACAAGTACTTTTAATCAGATCCCAAATTAAATTCAGAAATGTGCTGTCACACTTCACAGATGCAAGACATTCTAAAATAGCTGAGACCAAACTTGAGCACACATTACTGGCTTCATCTTAAAACACGGTGCATTTTGCTTATTCAAGAAATTAGATGATCCTCTTCTACCCAAAATTTTAGACCTCAAGCCAGTACTATCACCTTGGTTTAGAGCTATGATATGCCAATACAAGCCACAATATTTTTAAGTTGGTTAGTGCAGATTATAGTAGAAATTTAAGAGGAAACACAACATTTCTTGAAGAAATCAAGAGGATCACATACATCACCATCGAAACTACACTACTCCTATCTTCCACTAAAAAAAATAATCCTCCTAAATAATAGCATAAAATTCCATTTGTTTTAGAAAAGCATACATAAAATAACATTGGTACATTTTATTTCAAAAGACTTTATTGTCTCATCTCTCTAGCAATACTCCAAGACAGGTTAAGACTGGTTCATAAAGAGATCAATCACAGGCATGTAGCAAATATTAAAAAGGCATGCCAAGTACAAATCCTCTTTTGAGTTTTTTTTTATTTAATGTAATCAGTAGGCATGAAGCATCTGTACAGCAAACATAAAACGGTATCATTTTTCCCTTACTCATCTCAAGAGCTTTTGATCTTGCAACAGGAAAGTAACCTTCATGTTGCTGCATATGGGGGATACATTCCTAACTAAACGGAGTACAGACGTATGGAGAGTCATTGGAGGAAGGCATATTCTTAATACTTAAGAACACATGACCCTCTAAGACCACCTCCATTTCCCTAGTGGCAGCAGCATACTAATTAGAGGAACAGTCAGTGACACTAATCAACACTGAACACCCCAAAAGTGACAATAACCCCTACTGTGCACCTAGAGCAAGGCCTCCCACTTTCTTTAACCAGCTCAATACCAATCTCATACACCCTTTCACACCGTAAGAGCAACTATTGAGCCACTTTAAACAACGGTGTAACACATGGATCCTGTACACTAGAGCCTTCCAGAAGGAATAAAGAAAAGATAATTGCTGACTGGAACTCAAGGTATGTCTGTCCATATGCGTCTTTAGGGCAACTGCACACCCATTATAGGCAGGATGGCAGAATGGGAAAAAATGCAGAGCTCTGATATCTAAAACTTAAGCTTCAACAACTCTTCACAACTTTAAGTTTAATAATGGTTTTAGATATATCTAGAACCTTAAATGCCAAGCTCTCAAGGAAGTTTAATTAGAATTTTTAAAGATACAGAAACAGAAATAACAATGTTATAGAGGTCTTGCAGTCCAGGTGAATCTAAGTTAATGAAAACAGACTTGAGATATAAACTTATTTCCTAAGGTGTGGGGTTTTTTTTTTTTTGTGAGGCTCCCTCCTCCCTCTCCAAAAAAAGTTCTTCAGAACAAAATGCTTTTCATTTAGGCTGTGCAAGAATGTAGAGCAGGAAGTAAGGTTTAAGCAAGGCCACTGAATCAATGAATAGTACACACACAGAGTCTAGGCACTATTCTTCTCAAAGGTCCTTTCACTTGAGAAAATTATTGCTCATCTGCCCATAGTTGTGCTCTTCACACTCTTCTGAAACACATGGTCAGATTTAGCAGACCACAGGTGACTGTCACGGGTCTGTTAATTCACACAAAATGAAGTAGGCATCTTACAGATTTAAATCACTACATGTCACCTTCCACAAATAAGGACTCCTACCACCATTTGGGAAGTGACTGTTTCACTGTTCATAAGCTGCATTAAGTAGCTGTAGGCTCTGAACAGACAATTCCATGAATTTATTTATGCATCACCTTACTCCACTGTATCAGCTCAAAGAATTAGCTACAACAGCCTATTATAACTATGCACAGCAAGGCTGTGAATTTGAAACAGCACTTCCTACATCCAGTTGCAGCCTGTGGTTAAGCCTAGATATCAAGGCAGCAATCTTGATTTGGAGATCGGAAAGACACAAACTTCATCACCACTCTTTGCAGTCTGAGCTTGCCCAGTCTCAAATCCTACTAGTGGGGTTTCAAAGTGTTTTCTATTATTAGCTCCATTTTACTGTGTTTTACTGACAATTATGGGCTGCATCCTTTACTATTTTTAACTTCTTTTGGAATAGATGGAAAGATTGAAACCTGCCTTCATTGTCAAAACAGGTTTTCATGGCAGTAATTCAAATAGTTCTTTCTCAAAGTCTTTCACATTTTTCAACGTTCTTGAAACATGGATATATATTCCAAGCAGGCTGAGCTTTGACGAATTTTCAGTGTAAGATGATAAAACATGAAACTGTTCTAAGTCTTTCTTCTAGAACATACAAAGAAGCTTGGGTTCTGACAAGGCTAGTTACAATCTTATCAAGATGACTCAAGGACAAAAATTTCTGCTTTCCTTCTAGAAATATTGTTTGTTGCCACAACAAATCTGATCTATTTAGACTTCAAACATGTTACTTCTTATTCCCTCTCCTTTTAATTTTGCTCTTCAAAGGTCAAAACACAAGCAGCTCCTCTAGAGTAGAAAAACTGAGCCACCTATCAACTGCAAGGTTCCTCGTATCAGAAAGGACTTTTAAGTGAGGAGGAAGAAAACAAAAGTTTTTTCTTATTTATTCCAAGCAGGATGACTGTGGAGAAATGACTCAAGCTTAGATAGTAAAAGTTAATGGAACGCCATCTGAAATGAAAACTGACTCAGTAACACATGAGACTTGCTAATCATTTGTTAATCTCCAATTCAAAAACCCACTAGAAGTACTCATGTAATATCAGTGAAATAGGAGAAGATACTGCTTGTTTTCCTTCTTGGGCAGGAGAACAAGCTTTAAATGAGAACATCAGTTTTCCTAGCATCTGATAAAATGAAAACCACTAAGTGCCACATACCCTCAAAGGATTAATTACTTCAGCATCTATGAATAAGGACTACGTAAACTTGCAGTACAATGATTTTATTCTGCTAACGTGCAAGACTTGCATACGACTTATTCTTTGGATTGTCATTCTGCATGCTGGTATTTCATGTTTTGCAGCTGTCTTTCCCTCCTCCTCCTGAACACATTACACCATAACAGCATACAATCTTCTGGAACATCCTTTTTCCGTAACAGTTAAGATCTGTAACACCAGGCAGAGTTTGTGGAGATTGAGAGACTAGACTCTGGATTCTTACAGGTGGAAGTGCCTAGACCAGACAGAGAAAGAAATTGTCATATGAAGGCTCTATAGTGCCCCTCTAATTGTTGTTAGTATCATAAAGGTTAATATCTGAATTCAGAAATCTTAAAAAAAAAGGTTCAAGTGAGTTAAATTTGAGCATTTCTATGTAGAAAGTCGAGTCTGAACAGGAAACAAAATATAGGCACAAGTGACATTAAATAATAGTTTTGCCTATTCTTGATGTTTACACAGGTAGTCATCAGTTCTTTTTTTCCTAATAAGTTATTAAGTCTTATCAGTAAATAAATGTCTCTTCCTTCCTTTCCAGAGGATACAAAATATTATAAAAAATTTCTTTAACTTTTCCCACTATTCTTATAGTTTCCCATCTCAGCATGTTTTGAAGTGTTTCAGAGAAAATTTCTATGTCTATCTCACAAGGAAGATAAAATCCGCATGTTTTACCAGATGAAGTCATTTCGTTCTGTAAAGAGACATGTCTTAAAAGCAGAATATCAAATGCCTACAGCTAATTAGAACTAGATTAAAAGCATGGTTCAACAAACCTATTATAACTTCAGATCACAGTGAACAAACTGCCAGCTAGAAATGCAGACTAAATCAGCTTTCTGTAGTAATATCCAAACGCCATTACAAACTCGTCCATATTAACTGTTAGTCACAGTAAAACTTTTCACATCAGGAAAAAAAAAGGCTAGTGTAGAGCCTGTTGACCCTTCCTCACTTCCACAGCTAACACTACAATCTAATTAAAGCACTCTGCTTGCCAACATTAAATGCAGAGTCATGGCAGAAGCCAACACAGTGTCTTTCCCCTTCACTCAGTGACAGAAGAGACAAAATCCCATGCACTTCCTTCAAATGTTTTGGGAGTACAAGACCTAGATGTCTAACATGTTCTCAGTAATAGCAGCCCTAAGGAGTTTAGCTTATTTTAGTCCTACTATGCTCAACACTAATACTTCATAGTAGCTGCAGTAAATTTTACAGAAGATCCAGTTACTTACTCAGCCAACAGTTTATGCCTTATCATACTGCTACTAAGATACACCTGCATAGAAGATTTTAAAGCTCTAGTCTTACAGCTACAGGATGAGATCACATCAAGCTAATCTACTGATTAATTAGCTAATACTTCATGATGTATATTTTCCAATTTATTCAATGAGCAGTGAGCTACACTTGCCACAAAACATTTTAGCCATTCTTTAGTAAGGCTGCTGTGCTAGTTTGAAACTTAAGCTAAAGCATTTCAGATATCCCAAAAAATATATGAATAAACTTTTATTTCTAAGCAACAACACACTATTTTAATACAACCCACACATTTCAGTCAAGTGGAGATTAGTAAACTGAACAATCATCGCTAAAACATTTCCATTGGAAGTCTGTTAAAGTTCCCAAGTGTCTTCATTACCACCTTACTGAAGTTTTCTTATGTGTTTCTAGTCTACACACCGCATGTGTCATGCAGTCATGCAAATCTGAATCAAATTTTAAATGTTCAGGTAACAGGGAAGTCCATTCACTGCAAAGATTCATTTTTCACAGAAGGGCGAGGCTAGGTAAGACCAAATACTGCAGAGTTCTTCATAAGCATACAGGTATTTTAGAAACCATGAACTTTCAGTTGTTCTTCCTTGACAATGCCAATCTAAAGGAGAAAAGCAACATATTTCAGTAAAGCTTACTTGCTTAGGATATTACAGTGATATCAAGTTTCTACAATCTTATACTTTGACTAAAGAAACTGCAATACAGCATATACCCAATAAAGCAGTGTTCTAGTTTCCAGAATGTTTCTGGGCCAGGCAGAAGAACTGACTACACAAGGAAGAAAATCTTATCAGACACCCGACTTACACTGTCAAAGAGTAAGCCTTAGAATGACAGAGCAACACCTCTAGACCCTTTCCTCTGTAGTGTTTTCACTCTCAAAATTATGGTTTGCATCAAACACTTGCTTTCACAAATGAAGAACTCAAGTTGCACTGCCAGAGAACAAGTGATACATCGTAGCAGGGTAAATGCATTCTATGGTGCTTTGATTCTCACCAGAGGTTTACTCCGGTTCTGAAAGTGTCATTTTACTTTTTGGCTGAAAATACAAAGGAACTACAGAAGACATCTTTAGCTTGTTAACTAACATGAGTGCCATGTCGCTATTGCTTCCGGAGAGGCTTACATATTTAACTGCAGTCCCTCACCTCCAAAAGGAATTGGCAAATGTTCTTCCTCTGGTCACCTTGAAGCTGGATAACTTCACCGTATTCAGGATGTTCAATCACAGTACCATTACAGGCAAATTTCTAGAGAGAAACATTCATATTGTAAGACATCTGATGTACATTATGATTTTGCTCAGTAAGTCTCTTCAGCAGAATTTTGTCACAGAAGCTGCTTACTAAATTCTGATGCCAAGCAAGGCAAAGGCTAGATCTATTTTACACTGGTTTTGAGAACAAATGGAATACATCTGCTGATGCATACAGACACAAATTAAGCTGCTGATGGTAAACTCCGGCAAAGACAGGATTAGCTACTGTGCAGAGGGAACTGGCCAACACTCATTACAAGAACAGAAAACAAAGTCATAAGATATAGTTTTTCAATTCCACACTATTTAAAAATAAATATTTTCATCCTGGCGAAACTCAGTATCTCTATTTTCAACAGCAACCCAGCTATGACAGCAGCAGGACTGAAAAAACAGTTCTGCTTTAAACCGGTTTTATTTTTCACATCAACAAAGCCAGACATCTGTGAAATTTTAATGAAAGGTTCAGAATATATTTCATTTACCTCTTTATAGGAAAGAAACATTTAACATTTTGGCAAAAATCAGCGTCACTGGATACTCATGAATAGTTTTGAGATGAAAGAGATCAACCTGAATATGAAAGTGACGTGCACTGGTAAGAATGAAATAAAACAAATATTCTGTTACTTAGTATTAAAAGCTATCATGCTCCTTTATATAATATCTTTATTATCAAACCAAATCAGCAACTTCACCTTTTTGAAAGCTTTCACAAGTTTCTTCTTGTCATAATCATCTGCAATTCCCTGAACAGTTGTTAGTGTTTTTCTTCCGTTTCGTTGTTGGATCCTTATATGAATGTAATCCTCAGTCCCTGCCGGGAGTAAGTCGTCACCCTTTGTTGCATCAGCAAAGGGGTCTACAGGAGGAAAAAGATTCATGTAATTCCCACAAAGGAAAACACTCGAGCTCAAAACTAACAGATAAGTTTCTCACTTCACAAAGAGATTTATTTAGGGGATAATCTTGCTGTTTTCTCCCTGTTTAAAAATACACTGTTAAAATCAGAGTACTTTTTTCTGCAGCTGTATTAAGCCTCACTAGCATACTAACTCAGTATAGTGCACTCAGCTATCATGCATCCAGTTTCTTCCATGCCTTTGTGGATATAAACAATGTTCAGCTACAGTATCAATTTGTTTCTCTATTCCTTGTAAACTGTAAACCCTGAAGCTCTTAACCTGAAAACATGGTTCTGAGAGAACATCAAGTGCACATGTGACAAGTTTTAGACAGCCACATGCACTTTAAGTGAAATATGGAGGTCGTATCTTATCAGAACAACTGATCGGTACAGACAAATAAAAAAAGCTTTTGTATACACACTCCTTCACAAGTCCAGAACAGAAGTCTTATACTGTGACAACCATCACACTACTGGCATTTTAAAGCATGGATATAATTCTTGGCTACTAATGTAAAAAAATCACGGCAACAGACATTAACAGATGTCAGCAGCTGCCTGTAAACAAGCACCTCTCTGCCAGTCAGTAGTTTTAGGCAAGAACTGTAACAACATTAATTTTGGCTTCAACTACAGAAAGGTTAGTTCTCCAATTCTTCCAGGTACAAACTTATCTAGCACAGGTGAAACAGGAAGGTATTTAGGAAGAAGAAGGGTTTCCGGGTTATAAATTTTTTTTTTCTGTTCTCCACAAAAACATATTTAACACTTGCTCTATCAAGAAATTTGATAGCCCTACAAGTTGTCTAATTAGTAGCTCAGGTAAATCTTGAAGCATGAAGTACTTTAAGAATTTTTTTTACACGAATCACAAGTAATTTTTTGATACTAATCAGAATTATAATGAAGAGTCCAATCTTCAGAAAGCATAGGTTTAACAGCTATGCAAGTTACAATTTTCCAAACTTTCATGCAAAACTCAAACCTAAAAAGCACTGATCAACTTTTGTCATCTACTCGAAACAAATGCCCCAAAAGAGTGAAACTTCAGTAGAAATAGAAACAGAAGTAGCTCAGCTGCAGGCAGACTGACCCCTGTAGAAACAAGAATGATGAGCATTAAAGGCACTGAAGGCATCATAAGGATACAAGCACTATAGGAAAGACATACAGCAATGGGAAGCTTGACTGGATTAATTTCTACTATAGCATTTGTCAAAACGTGCTGAATTTGCACTGTGCCCCCAGCCTGTAGGACACACTAACAGAAAATTTCATCCAAAGAGAACGTGAAAAGGAAAAAAAAAAAAAAAACACAAAGAGGGACTTGGGCACTTGGCAGAGTTTAGGATTCTAGGTTGGAGATAAACCAGCACTGTAGGTGTTACCACCAGATTACTTCCAACATCCTTTGGGCAGCGCCTTCCTAAGCACAGAATCAGCTCCCTATTCGTGATTAGCATTCCCTTCTCATATGGTTTATATGTGCAGAAGATTAGAGTCAAAACTAAGACTGAAAGCTTAACAACATTATTGTATAAAGCTTTACTTGCTCGCGTCTGTTATCTATAGATAAGGAAGGTAGAGGACCGTGGCCCAGCATGGTAAACATCCCTCCTAATACAAAAGAAATGATCTATCATCCATATAGGTCAATCCATAGAAACAATACTCTTTGAGGGTGTATATCAGGATTTGGGACATTGGTAAGGATAAAACGAGGCAGCTTTGCAGCAAATAAAGAAGCAACTGAAACCGAGACAGCGAGAAGTCGATTCTCTTCCTTAGCTGAGCATACCCACCCTAGACTTCCTCCGCCCACAAAGATTACAACTTTGGGACCGCAGAGTTAACAGAAAAGCCCACTTTGGGGTGCTACCAGACATCCAGGCAAACAGCCCGGTACGACCTGTCAGAGCACGGTATGCGGTAGCGT